CAAGTCTGTCTGTCGGCTTCCCCTTTTCCTGAGGCTCCTGAGTTCTGAGAGCTGCTGCCTGAATAATGTCGGCGCTACATCCGTAACTAGAACTCAGGTGCTCTTTCCTTTGAAAAGACATTGTTCAGAGTCATGCAGTTTAGAGGTGTAGTTTTAGTATCAATGAAACTTCTCTTTCTCTTGTACATAAATACATTTTAGGGTACCAGCCTGCCTCTGTTAGGTAACTGTTGTTACATGTCTGATATTTAATCAGGCTATTGCTGTTCAGGATGATTTAGTATCACGCTTTGGTTTTAAGATGGAAATGCCATGGCAGGTTTGCAGTCCTTAGAAGATAAAAAACTGTCTGTTTTTTTTATGCTCTGGTTTCTGTAACATAAGTAGTGAGCCCAGTGAGTTTTCTTTCAATGGACAAAACTTTGTGTATGTTAGTTCTAGAGAGGAGGGAAAACATTTTATAATGATTTAGTGCACTTACAAAACAATTGTTTTCATGACACAGAACTAACTCCTAGTATGTATTCCCTTCGTTCCTCTGGAATTTGAGACGTACGCAGAAAGGTGAATCTTTCAGATGTGTGTCAAATAATTTTAAAAGGAGTATTTAATTTGTTTACTACTATCCACATTCTTCCCGTCGCCATTTACAATGACTGTATTAAAAGAATTAAATATAAATATGGCATCATTTGTTAAAGTGATTTTAATTTGGGGGCTTTAGAGAGAATCTGATACTCTTGAAATGAATAGTTGAAATGCTAAGTTCTTTTTCTTTGGCAGAGTATTGCTGTTTAGGTGCAAACTGGGTGTCCTGCAGTACACAGTTGTCAGACCATTCACCACCATTGTTGCTTTGTAAGTACATAGAACTTAATGTTATCGTCTATTTCTTTAAAATCCTCATGCTTGTAAGCAGGGACAACTGAATAAAAGAACAAAGAGCGTAATTTACTTGTTTATAATAAAAGTCTAGTCTGTTATTAAAAAACCACAATATATAGAAACCCTATTATATTAAATAGGGTGACCATTTATAGGCAAAAATCACTACAGAATTCTAAATATTCTCTAGATCTTTCTGGAAAGCATTTAAAAATAATTTTCTCAACTGTTAATCACACAGCTTTTCAGAAACATCTATTACATGAAGTTAAATTGCTACTTTAGGCTCATTACATGGTTTTCTATATCTACATAGTTAAATTAGAATTATGAGCACTGTATTCTAAGGGAGAAACTGTATTTTTCTTTTTTAATAATTCTGTCAAGGCTTAGCACTTGAGGTAAAATGGGGTATCATTAAGCTACCTGGTAAAACTATTCCCTAAAAAGTTTAAGAACATCAACTAATTTAAATTAGGTAGATTGCATGTTTTATCTGCTAGTCATAACTAACATTCTGCGTGTTCAGAGGAAAGTGGGAACAAAGGTGAAAGCTCTGTATTCTGCCTTTGAGCCAGCAATTTTTAAGCGATGCTTGCCTTAGAATTAAGACAAATTCGCTTATTTCTGAAGGCGTGCCTTGTTTTCTGCAGTTTAGACATTGGATAATCATATAAGTTAAAACTTAGATCTGGGTCTTCATAAAATTTACCTCCAAGACAATTTGGGGAAAAAAAATTATAGTTGTAGTTACAGACTTGCATTATATGTTTGTAACAGTCAAGCTTTTGCAAATTAAGCAGCATAAATTTTTTTGATTCTATATATAACTGCCCTTTCTAGTTCAATGTATGCGTCTTATTTTGGATTTACTTCAAGTTGGAGGTACAGTCATAAGGTAACATGGGAAAAATGATTTGCTTTTAAGTTTTGAACCACCTCTACCTCTATGACGAGAATCAAGTGATTATCTTCAGGATCTTTTAAATAAACTGACTTCTAAATTTTATTGCTGTCAATGCTGTATTTTAAAATATATTTTGATTTAATTAATCATAAATGTGTCTCATTTTTAACCATTTTTTAGAATCTGTGAGCTGGTTGGCGTATATGATGAAGGGAACTTCAGCTTTTCAAATGCTTGGACTTACTTAGTTATAATAAACAATATGTCACAATTGGTAAGTAAATATTCATCCTAACTATTAAATTAGTATCTATAACTAAATTTTCTTAGGGAAAGTTTCTTTGGGAATAAAACTTGTTACTTTTTAATCTTGAAATTTGATTTATAGGAAGAACTTGAAGAAATTTTAACATATCTTTATACATATATAAAAATATAGTTTCTTTGTTAATTATTTGGTGACTTATATCTTGACCTGTTGATGGTGTTTATTTGGTTTGGTACTCATTATACAGTTCTGTGGTTATGTCATAAATAAAAGCAAAGTGCTGCCCTTTAAAAAACACACACACACACATCCTAGGCATATTCAGTAAGAGAAAATGTCTAATGGCATGTGACAGTCCAGTGTTTGAATAAAAATGGGAGAATAAAATTCTGTCATTTTTGCAGAGAATTTTCCTTTAATAGGAAAACTGAGAATGCCAAATTAAAAAAATATATATGTTCTAGAACCTAAAATGCTCTAAATACATATCTGTCTGATCCTTTCAACTTAATATACATTTTATTTAAAATCTTGAGTTAATGCTTTCAAGCAAGATAATTTAGATGCAGTGGCATGCATGTGTGGTTATTAGTTTAGAATAAAAATCAAATGCCTGTGTAGTCAAAGCTTTCCCACATGTTTATATTCTTTGGAACCAGTAATTCTGTTTCTGGGAATGCATCCTCAAGAAATGGTCAGAAATCCTTTTGCTTTGAATATCTCTGTATATAAGTCCTATTTGTAATAGCAAAAAGCTGGAAACAGTCCAAAGCCCAGTGATAGGGACTGGTTAAATGTACTATGGTCTTTCCACTGGCCAAAATACTAGGCAGTTATTAAAACAAATCTTTATGAAACATACAGAAAAGTAAGGTTGAGTGGGAGGAAAAAATTCAGGCAACACAATTTTAGTTTTTCAGCTGATGATACCTGTTAAAAACCATCTTATGTATAGAAAGAATGGTTGAATGATGGAACTGTGAACAACTTATACTTCTCCTGCTTTCAAATTCTAAAATATCTTAAATGAGTATTTTATATGATTTTAATGGGGAAAAGTAAACTTCTAGGAAACTGTTTATTGCCATGCAACACTACACTAGATTACAACTGATTTCTAAAAATAATGTCTTGAGCATTTATTTTATAAAAGTCACTTCAGCTGAATTAACATATAGCCCTCAAGAAAAATTGTTGCCCTGATTCTTTACTTTCAGATGTCAAGGTTGAAATTATATTGAAATAGTACTTAATGTGTTGTCTTATAAATAATAGCTCAACCCTTATAAAGTTAATGGTAATTTTTATATAAAAGCCATTACTAAGCAAATATTGGTTTG